GTGTGAAGGTTTTGATCTATTATAACTGACAGTACAACTTTAGTGAAGATATTCAATAAAGTCTTCATTTAAGTTAGATTTTACCGAAGCAAGTTAGACTTATGCTTATAATATCTCGAAACTTTTGTTAATTTTCATTTCAGAATTACTGTAGCAAGTGTCATTTATTCAACTTAATTTTTAATATCTGCAAAATATACAAAAGCATTTCTCATCTTTTTTCGCATAAATTCATTATTGAATAAAATAAAAGATATATGACCTTGGACGAATTCATTCTTCGTTTAAAATGATAGTAAAGTTAGTAGTTAGCAACAGCAAAATTAATAGTCAACAGCTGCCCTGATTACTATTTGTATAATTTGTCTTAAAATTTGTTCATATTTACTTAATTAATCTATTTTATTTATTTACCCTAGATAAATAAAAGAGCACTATAAATCTAAAATTTTATATTCAATTTATTGTTTTAAATTTATATTTTAAAGGCGCAAATTTTTAAATATTTATGCATTATTTTTGTTTCAAATCAAATATTTTTTGTTTACATAATTATTTTTGCAACAAAAATAATAAGCAAAAGAAATGATTACAATAGAAATGTACGAAAAACTGATATAATAAATTTTAAAAAAATATATTAAAAGTAATTAATAATGTTTCCTAATTTTTTAACCCCTTCAAATACTTGCTTATTAATTTAGATACCAAATATGATCATTTTGGCAATAATTTTGGTTGCAACAATTGTAACAAACTGTGAAGGTAATCCACTGAATTATGGATGGAATCCAGAACTTTATAACCAACATTCAAATCATGGATATAGTTATGGATCCTATGGTTATCAACCTGCAGGATATGGTCCAGCTCCTTACTCTTACTATCAACCACATCAGCAACACTTCACTCCAAGCTGGAGTGGATTCAGAAACGGCTTTAGGAATTTTATTTATCCTGTATACAGCTACTTACCAAGGTTGTTTTGTAAATTTTTTAAACTAACTGTATAGTTTATACCAAACAATTTTTTCATATTTTAAAATTCAAAAATAGGAAAATAAATCTTATTTCCTATTTATATGTATTACTGTTCATTGATAAATCTTTGAGAAATCTGAATTTATTTTATTGCTATTACTATTTATCAGCAATTCTTACACTTTTTGTTAAATATCAATTTGTGTTAATATTTTGATTATTTTCAGTGTTGGTAATTTATTGAAAAGCGGTGCATATGGAGCTTTGAAAGGTGCAGGTGTTGGAGCAGCAATCGGTGGTGTTGCTGGCTTGATAGGATAACTTCCAATTGTTTAATATAAAAAATTAACTTATTTAATAAACTTTTTATAATCCATACAAAAGCATTTTTTGCATCACTGCATGATAATTATTTGTCAAACTTCTTTGGATTACTGAAAATCAAGAATCCACGTCAAAATTTTGTTTTATGTGAGATGATGTTCGATGCGCAATTCAATGAGCATCTTTGAAAACAAATTAATTATGGAAAAAAGGTGTCTGAATCTTATTTATTTCAAAGTTTTTGAAATTTCCATTTCATACACCAATAATAATTTGTGTATTATGACTTTTGTAAGCTTATTATTGGAGTATTGAGGAATCTAATTTTGTATTTAAATTTGAAAATTCTTTTAGCTCGTTTAAGCACAAAAATGAACTTGTTCAGTTATCAGAATTAATTTGATATGCAAATATATTTGTATAAAACTTTTAAAGACATAACTTGTTGATAAACAAGTACAAAGTTTGAAACTAAAGCAAATAAATCATTAGTTTTTTTGGTACTTTTCAAGCATAAAGACTTGTTATTAAACTTGCAGTTTAGACAAAATTTTAAATTAAAACAATAACAAAGATTTTTTAGCAAGTAAGTACGTGTCATTATAAATTGACTTTTGTACTTGTTTTCTTGTTTACTTTAACCAAACGAATGTTCGTCCAATTCAAATGTTTTTCGTTTTTTACGTCACTTAAGTAAGCAGCAATAAATTGTTTTCTACTTGCGTTCATTATGACGAATTCCAAAAGTTGACGTGATATTTTTAGCAGCAAAATAACGCATCAAATATACAACATTTTTAAATAACAATGACTACTTTTTATTGCAAAAGGTAAAAAAAACCATTCAGAAGTCAAAATTTTACTTTTACTTTTATACAAAGCAAAGAGCATTCTCTAGATAAAAATTACAATTTAGAAGGTAAAATTAATTGACATTTTAATTTTTTAGTAACATTTTCAATTTCTGCCAGCTAATTGTGTACTAAATTCACAATTATTTGTAATATACTTAAGACATCTTTGAAATGTACTAAAAATATTTTCACTTACTTACTTATTATTAATAATATTTTTTATGCCAAAAAATAAAATTCAAAGAGGTCAAATGTGAAAGTGCCAGGGTAATTATTGATTACATGACGAGTAATATAAACATGCATATTTTGATTGAAATTATTAACGAAATGTTTCACTGCGTTGCATTCGTCATTATTCAATCATGTAGTCATGTAGTTCCTCGAACTTCTTTTTTTACGCTTTTTTTTGAACTTTAAATTATTACAAAACTGGTTTGAAAAATGTTATAAATTATTGAACAAGAAGTACGTTTCTTAAATAGACTGCTTTCTACACCAAACTGATGTGACTTCTGAGGAAATTTTGTTTTTGTCCGATTCTTCTCTTATATTCAGTCCAGCAGCTCTTCATCATTAGCCATTGTTTTTTAATGCATAATATTTGATCAAATAATATTTTTTATTCAAATTTTTATTTACTTATTTAATTTTTTGAATATATAAATCGATGGAAAGTATTTTTATCACGCTGTTGTTGCTACGTGAGATCTTTCTGACGATCATTTTCAAAGATTCTAAAATTCTTATGATGCATACAGGCAAGGAATCAGAAGATGCATATGACTTTTGTGCGTTACTTTTCGCTCTTACTGATCGTAGCTTGCATCACTGTGAATTGCCAATATCCATTTGGTTACTATGGCCCTTATGGATATGGCAGATATGGTAGATATGGTCGCTATGGCCCTTTTGGATATGGTAGATTTGGTTTTAATCCTTACGGATTCGGTAGATATGGGGGATATGGTTTCTTACCTTATTTGTACGGTGGGCAAGGTTTTGGTCGGCCACCGTTCTTTGGTGGCTTTGGAGGGTAAGCTATTTACTGAATAACGTATTCTCTTAAATTTATTCTTATTGTTAGATTGATTTTATTAAGTTTGAGATTAATTACTGTTTCCACTAATAGCTAAGTCAGAACTGAAAAAGCATAAAAACAACCAAAAAAAATAAATTATTATTTCGATACACTTTTTCTTCACTAACAATTTTAAGTATTTGAAATTTTGCAATTATGATAAAATTAAAGACTATTTTTTGCAATAGAAAATAATTTGCACATTTTTAAATAGCAGAAAATAATACTATTTCTCAAAAATAATTAATTTTATTTCAAAATGAATAACTGAAAAATAAAAAGTATAGCAAAAATTCAATGAATAATATTTGAGTATTTTTATTCAGTCTAAAAATTTCAAAATTCGAATTCTGTAATGTTTACAAATTTGTTTTAAATTTCTATATCTTTTTTTGAAGGTTGACTTCCTCTGATGCTGGAGCTGGAATCGGTGCTGGACTCGGTGCTTTGGCGGGAAGTTTACTTGGAAAGTAAAACCAAAAATTCAAATTCAGCAAGAATACGCAGACAATTACTTTCTTACTATATTTAAATGTATTTTTCTTCTTCTAATTTAATGATTTGAGCATTTTGCGAAAAGAATAAAAATAATATATTTCAAAAAAATGACCAAATTGATTGCAATATACGATTCAGAAGGAGTTTGAAATACTTCAGCTTTGCAAATAACTTCTTAAGTTGAAGCTTCAGATGTTTTGCATTACATTTTCACTTTGTTCCATTTTTCTAACTCTAAAACTAGTAATTTTTATAGATAAATGATACGACTTAATGATTTTAAATTCGTCATCACTGTGAAAATAAAAGACTTTTCAATGATTCTTTTTAGTGGTGAA